ATCCTCGTGTTCTGGGGTCTAAAACCATCAAATTCACTCTTGCAAACCAAACATCATCTAAAAAGGCTCTCATTAATCTGTCAGGAGCCCCTGTGAGAGCAGCTCTGGGCAGACTGTCACGGCTCCCAGTCACTGCAGGATTCATCAGCCCCCACTGGGCACAGGGACAGTTTGGATACACGCTCCACACGGGATGTGAGCCAGCAGCCAGCCCTGTCAGCAGGGTCCTGCTGCCCTCCCTGCACACCCCAGCACACACAGACCCCCAAAACCCACCACGGAGCACGAGCCAAGAGCGGGGACCTGCCCACGCAGGGAGGGAGGGAGGGAGGGAGGCGAGGGAAAAAAAATACCTGGGAGGTTTTAACCTGCTCCCACCTGCCTGCTGTGCAAAGCAGTGTTTACAATCTGGGGAGATTAGAGAGCCTGGAGAGGGAAGGGGGGCTGCAGCAGCCCCTAGATGCCTGGGGGGAACCACAGCTCCTCCCCAGGTGCAGCAGGTCCAACACCAGCACTCGGCAAAGCCACCACACCGTCCTTGGCCAACCTTTTCCAGGCCCTGCCAGTGCCCTGCAAGGTCCTCTGGGGCTCTGTGCAGGGAGATTTCTTGTCCCCTGGGTGCCTCAGCCAGCTTTGTGCCCCCTGATGTCCTCTCCCTCTCTCTGTGCTTCACACAAAGCATTAAACAGAGCAGCTGCATCCCAGAAGGATAGCCCTGGGAGATGTGAGGCAGAGAGCGAGGCAAGCCTGGGATCTAACCTTAGCAAGGGCCCAATCCAGGGAAAAACAGGTCCACCTTAGCAGTCCTCCCATCTACTCCTCCTCTCCCACTTAAACCACGTAACATGAAAGTGCACAAATTGATCCCCAGGAGAAAGCTCAAACCTCGCTGTGAATGGAGAAGAAAATGCTCTCAGGAGATCAAAAGTGGTGTCTAACAACTGCTGCACCCCCTCTCCCCCCCTGCTTTTGGAGAGCTATGTTTAGCACCTCTCCTCTCCCCAGAGCAACCTGCCTGGATTTGTTCCCCACTGTGCTGTGGAGCTCAGGGGGGGGCAAATCCAGGCAGGGAAAGCCGGGCTGGGATAAGGGATAAGTGCACAGGGATGAGGCTCCACGAGCAGCCTCCATTCCTGGCTCCTGAGATGTCCCCTCACTGCCATAGGGTGTGAGCACGAGCAGGAAACAAGGAAGGGGAAGCCAAAAATGTGATGGAACCAAGGTGACTTCACTGCTGGGCCCTCCCAGGGGGTGGGTGGCTTCACTCTGGAGGCATGGATTGCCCGGGATGCTGGAAGGGGAGCACCCTGCATCACCCCCCTGACAGGAGGTCATCGTTCAGTGGGGCCTTAGAGGAGGAGGAGTAGGCACTGTGTAATTAAAAGTGAGCAGCTGCTCACAAAATGAGCAGCCAGGTACGAAAAAATTTCACCTTGTGCGGAGAGAGGGAGTGATTTTTTTCCCCCCCCCGTGCTGTGATGTGTGACAGACTCCCCGCCACGCTCCGACGCTCCCAATCCCTCCTCGCTCAGCCCCGCCCCAGCCACCCACCAGCTGGCACAGCCAGAGGGGCAGGAACGCCACCAGCACTCAGGGCTGGAGCCAGGAATGGTCGGGACCTGCCTGTCTCCCTCGGGATGGGCATCCCGAGGTGCTGGGCAGGGCGTGCAAACCCTTCCCTGCTCCCCGCGACGCTCCCGCCCGTGTGGGGGAGAGCAGGGGGTGGGAAAAGCATGGATACAAAAGGAAGAGAGCACTGGGGGGGGGGTCAGCAAACACGAGGGGGTGCAAAAGGCACCTGTGGGCAGCCAAAAAAGAGCCGGATCTGCTGCACCTTCCCACTGCACTCCCCGGGATCGGCCCCACCACAAAGCCGGCGCTGGGAATTCATTCCGTGGCATCCAAGTTTTCTGTTGGCTTGTGGCACCAGAGAAACAGGCTGGGAGCAGCAGCCAAAGCCAGCAGGATATTCCAGCACCACGGCACACAAAGGGAACGAGATTGAAGAGAGCCTGGGCTTTATTTTAGGTTCTATTTTCATGCCTCTTCTCCCAGGGCAGCCAAGCCCCCCCCTCCCCATCCCCACTGAGCAGGCACAGAGCTGCCCAGAGCCACCTGGGCAAAAGTGAGACACCAAAGGCCCCCAAGGCTGTCTCCCTGTATTTTCTCCCTGTATTTTCAGCAGCAGGAGGTGGTTATGGACAGCACAAATGTGTCCTGAGGTGGGACCCAGCCCCAGCCCTCAGCACACATGGAATCACGGAATGGTCTGGGTGGGGAGGGATCTTAACACCCATCTCATTCCACCCCCTACCACGGGCAGGGACACCTTCCACCAGACCAGGCTGCTCCAGCCTGGCCTTGGACAATTCCAGGGGTGGGGAGGGCATGGCAGGGAAGGGGAAGGAAGCACCTTACATGACTTGTAAGCCCAAGGCAATTCTTCCCCCAGCAGCAGGAAAAGGGTGGCAAGAAGAGAAGGATAACAAGGATCTGACTCCAAGAGCCTGGCACTTCATCCTATGGATGCCCCCCCACCCCTGAGCAGCCAGCCCAGCTCTCAGCAGGTCTCAGAGAGGGTTTCTTGTTCTCCCTGCCCTCCCCAGAGCAAACCTGCCCAGCAGTCCTGCCTCCCAACCACCGAGGGACGCTGCACACAAACAGAAAGCCAAGAACAGGGAGAGGCGAGGAGGAACCCTCCAAATCCTCCCCCACCGTTTCCTTTCCCCCCTCAGGGGACTTGGGCAAGGCAGAGCCCACCCTGCCTGCCCCCTGCCCACACCTGCCAGCCCCCTCCTGCTGCCCTGGGGGGTGGCAGCTGAGCCAACATCCGCCCCCTCTCCCGCTCCCTGCGCAGATGCTCCAGCAGGGAGGGAGGAGAGGAATTATCCAGCTTGGGCGCCCCAGGCCAGTCCCTGAGCTGGGGACAAGGCAGCAGCTTTCATGGAGCACTGCAGCTAAGTCAGCCAGGCTTCAAGACTCTATCCAGCCTAATAATCCCCTGCCCAGGCACGGGAATGCCAGAGGCACTGGAGATTTGGGAGAAAGCAGCGAGTTAACAGCGTTAATGGCCTTGTTTCCAAACGAAGCAGAGACCACTCTATAAATCAATGTGTGGCTGACGGGTTTTCTGCTGTAGAAATTGGAATTGCAAGAGAAGGAAGAGGTAAACAGCACACAAATCAGAGAAGCACACATGGAATAACCCGAGTTGGAAGGGACCCACAAGGATCATGGAGTCCAACGGGACACCCCAGCAACCCCACCACGTGTCTGAGGGTGTTGTCCAAACACTCCTTGAGCTCTGGCAGCCTTGGGGCCGTGATCACTGCCCTGAGGAGCCTGTTCCAGTGCCTGGGGTGAAGAACCTAATCCTAATATCCAAGCTAAACTTCCCCTGGCACAGCTAATGCTAATTAGAGACACCTCCCTGCTGGCTGGCAAAGTTTGTCACCTCCAGCACCACTGGAGCACCAGGGCAGCGACAGAGACTTGACAGAAGAGATGCCCAAGGTGTAGAAAGCCACTTCCTTCACCCAAAAACTGAGCTCTGACTTTGCCAGGACAGACAGTGGTTCTGTCCAGCTTTGCAGCACCGTTAAGAAGGGGAAAGGACCACAGCAAACCTCCCCAGCAGCAGGGTTGGCAGGCAGAAATCCCAACCTGTGGATCCTCAGCTGGCACAGACCAGCCAGTCCCTCCAGCACAGCAGAACCAGCAAGAACCAGCCCCTTCACCCCAAGAGGGACCCTCTTCCCATGCCCCCTGTGCCCCCAAAAACACCTCCCAACAGCCACACGAGGCATTTACCCCACACAGAGACTTGCAACGGAGGTGCCTCGTCTGGCAGCCTCCCAAGGGTGGTAGTTTTCCATCTCCTGTGGGGGACCAGGGATCTTCTGGAGTATGGCATCTGGATGGGCTGGGCTGTTAATATTTTGGAGCCCTGAGCTAGGAGTTCCACCTACGTGAGTTTTTATTTTGGCTTTAGATGTCTCCTCTGGTCCAATTATAGATTAATCACATTTTATCTCGCATCCGTTTCTCCCCCCCCCGCCTCCTTCCCCGCCCCCAACCAGAGAAGGCAAGAAAAAAGCAACAAACAGGTTATTAATTGGCTGCTGTTTTCTGCTGGGCTCTTATCTCTGCACGTGAAGCTGGGGAGGCTGGGGAAGGTGGCTCAAGAGCCTGCCAGGAAATGCAGGGCATTTTAAGCCTGATTTTTCTGAGGAAACAAAGCTCCTGTGATGACATTATCTTAGCCTGGGCTTGCCTGCCTGCATCCAACAGCCTTTAAAGCCTCTGGCTGATAACAGCCTGGCCTCAAAAAAACCCACAAAGTTCCTCCAGGTCTGTGAAATCAGAAGGTTTTAGCAAGCCCTGAGCAATGATGTGAGGTGCTGGTGAGAACACAGCTCATGAGACACCAGGAATCCATAGGGGAGAGGCAATCTACAGGCAAGGATCACAGATCCAGGGAAAATTCAAGTCCCAGGTGCTGTCCCACCTCCTCTGCCTGGGAAGGACCCTTTCCAGCCCTTCCCCTCTTCCACCACAGCCACCCAGGAAACCCTCTGCAGGAAAAGGGTTGCTGTGCTTCCATGGAGCAACGAGGGACACCTCTCCTCATCCTGGAGGGATGATCCTGGATCCCTTCTCTGCCCCCCCTGGGAAAGACCCTTTCCAGCCCTTCTCCACTTCTACCACAGCCACCCAGGAAACCCTCTGCAGGAAAAGGGTTGCTGTGCTTCCATGGAGCAACGAGGGACATCACTCTGTCCTCTCCTCATCCCGGAGGGATGATCCCCCATCCCTCGGCAGGGGCGAGGCCACGATACAGGACTGCTCTGGGCACAGAGAGCAGCCAGGCAGCTGCAAAAATAGATCAGTGGGTCAGGAGACACTGCTCCCCCAGCAGCTGCAGGAGGCAGGAGAGGCTCAACCTGCTCTCCAGTGCATCCCAAGGCCAGGGCCGGGCTCCAGCAGGGAGTTGTACTCACCATCCCGCGGCGTCGGCGGCGTCTGAGTGAAGTAACTGTTGGGCTTGTCTGCAAAGAAACAAAAAACAGGGGGCTGTCAGCAGGTCCCTTTGGATGCTCCCTCCTCCTCCTCCTCCCAGACCTCTGTCCACAGCTTTTGGACCAGCATTTCATCCCTTCCACGTGCCCTTCACAGACGGGTTCGACTCCCAGGGACAGCCGGGGGGTCTCGCAGCGAGAAGGGAGCAGCAGGAACAGGATCCAGGAGCCCCAGCTCTCCCACTGGTATCGATGGAGCATCTCTGGCGTGGGATCTGGGAGCAGCCCTCTGTGCCTGGCAGGGCTGGGGCTTGTCTCAGCCCGTCCTGTGCCATCCCACGGGGGCTGTGATGCCAATCCTGCCGTGTCTCCCCTCACACACACCTGGGCATGGACTCACCGGGGCATGTGGGTTGAGCAGGGCCTCCAAAAAGTGGGGGAAGGGGGTAGCCTGGGGCAGCAGAAGGTGAACACTCCCATGGGCATGACTGTAGGTCCCAGAGGAAGGTGGCACAGCCTTGCCACCTGCCAGCCCTCTACATCTGACTAAGCAGGGGGGTGAGAAAGATTCCACTCAGATCTCCACAGACCCTCCCATCCTGGGTGAGAAACACCCTAAACCCAGTGTCTGGCTGGGCTCTGTTCTCTATCAGAGATGTGCCCAGGGCAGCAAAGCCAGGCTGTGACAGAGGTGGCACCACTCTGTCACCTGGGCCTTGCTCCTGCCAGCCTTTGTAAATGCATCCGTGTGTTTGACAGTTTTCCACGGAGCTTGTTCCCAAACAACGCTCCCCTCCAGGGGAGGCAGCGCATCCCAAAGCCAGGCTGGAGGATTTGCCTGCCCTCTAAAGGCTTTTCTCACAGCAGGTGTTTGGCACTTTCCAGCATCAAGGAGGTCAAAGACACGGCTGCATGATGGAATACTCCTCCACAGGCTGTGCCTAGGGAAAGATGAGCACCTGTGCAAGGATGAGGTAACAGAGCACAGCAGCAATTCGTGGATGGATCCACGCCCAAATGTGGGATCTACTCAGCCACAGCAGGGATCACTTTAACAATCCAACCTCAGGGAAAACTCCCCCATCTTGCCCCAAACCCTCTGTTTATTCCTCAGAGCAAGAGAGCAGGGAGCCTGGGAGACACATTCCCACCTATATATAGCGACAGGGCTCCAAGGTCCAGCTTGGAACAAGGGAGCAGCAGTCCTCGGCCAGGGCAGGACTCCCAGGAGCCCTGCCGAGATCCCCAGCTCTCAGACGGGCTGGCTGCATCCCCCCAGAGCATCCCCCACACTCGGACCTCAAGCAGCACAGCAGGACACAGTATTTTGGGGACGGGACAGGGCACACCCAGGGTGCTGGCACAGCTGAGAGCACCGTGCAGGGAGGGAGCTGGGCCGGCCCACACACACCCGCCCTCCCAGCTCCGCTCCACCCTTCGGGGCCAACATCACGGCAGGGAAAAGTGGGGCAGAGCTGTGGAGCTGTCACCTCCCTGGATCCTCCCCAGGCAAGTGCTGAGCTCCCGGGTGAAGCCCAGCTGGCAGCGCTGGGAGCCCGGGCTGACCCCAGCCCTGCCTGTCCCTGCCTGTCCCTCCCCGGCCTCCCGCACGCCCGGGGGACACCTACAGTTATTGAGGAAGAGCAGCACGGCAAATCCCAGCGTGGAGGTGGCCAGGAGGATGAGGCAGATGTTGCAGGGGATCATGAAGTACCGCACCACCAAGGAGACCTTGTGCTGGTACAGCCGGTCCCGCTCCAGGGCCCCCGGCGCCATGGGGTACTGGCAGGCTGTCATGCTGGGCCACCACGCTCAGCCCACCGTCCATCCATCCACGGCACGGCAGCCACGAGGCTCACATGGATCCCTCTTCCCTCCCCTCCCCGGGCGTCTTCAGGAAAACCTAAGTTTTCCCAGAGGTTCCCATCTCGGCTCGCAGGAGGGCAGGGCGGGCTGGGGGGCACCTTCAGGGGCAGGAGTTTGTCCCCACGGCTGCCATATCCCAGAGGCACAGCCTGGGGTGAGGTCCGAGCCCGCTCCAGAGGGGGACGTGCAGCGCTCCCGTGCTCAGCAATCCCTCTGCCAGCCCGGAAGGTGTCAATCCACACCTGCCTGCAGAAAGCAAACAACAACCCCAGCGCTGAGAGAGCTCAAGTTCCACGGCCAAGCCCACCGGGACGGGGACGAGCCGCTGCTGGTGTGGGAACGGCACCAAGAGGCGCTGGCTCCCGGGAGCGGGGCTGGGACAGGGACGGGGGGTCAGCACGGGACCCCTCTCCTCAAGCTCGCGGCATCTGGAAAATCCATATCCTCTCGGCAGGGATGGCAGGGGGTCTGACCACCCCGGCAGCCGCCTCTCAGCTCTCAGATCCTCGCTCCAGAAACACGGAGCTTCCCCCGCTGTCCGCGCTCTCCTCCGGGACAGGTGATCCCGCGTCCAGCAGCCTCCGACCCTCCGCAGGTCCTCGGAGCCAAAAATTCCGGGGGCAGCAGCCCAAGATCCCGGGAGCAGAAGCCCAGAAGGTGCCGGCTCAGTTGTCCCACGCTCCGGCCGAAGGCAGACACTCCCTTTCCCACGGCAAGGCTCCTCTCACGGCCGCGGCACATCCATCCCCGCTCCGCTCCGCGCTCCTCCCGGCCAGCCGGCGCTCGGCGCTCCCTCGCCGTCCCTCCTCCGCCAGCTCCCCGGCACGTTCCCAACCCTCCGGCGAGCAGCGAGGGGCCAGCACAGCCCTCCTCGGCCCCCTCGGCACGGGCACCCTCCCCGGAGGGAGCCGGCTCCCCGCCTCACGCCGCTGGGACATGCCAGCCCTTCCCGGAGAGATCCCGGCTCCGCGTGGAGCCCGGCATGGAGCGGCGCTGCGGGGAGCGATGGGAGCTGCCTGGGCGGGCGGGTGAACGGGTGGGTGGGTGAACGCGTGGATGAGGGGATGGATCCCCTAATCCCGGCGGTCTCCGCCCGCCCCACGCGCGGGGAAGGGGCCGCGCAGCATCAAGACAACGGAGCGGACCCGGAGCGCCCGCCCCGCGCCCCGGAGCTTCCCCGCCCGTGTCTCCGCTCCCTCCTCCTCCTCCCCTCCCTCCGCCCCTCGGCTCGACCCCGGTAAGGGGAGGGGGGGACACACCGAGCCCCTCCGAGCGCTCGGCGGCCAACAAAGGGGAGCGGGGGCGCAGGGGCGCGGCGCAGACAAAGAGCGGGAGGCGGCGGGGGTCGCGCTGCCCCCGCTCCCCCGGGACACACGCGTGGGCAGGGCAGGGGCGCGGCACTCCGCCCCGACGGGTCCCTCCCCTCCTGGTTGCCCTCCCCCCCCCGGGGTGAACCCCGGAGGGCAGGGGGTGGAAGGGTGGAAGGGTGGAAGGGTGGGGAGGGTGAGCCCATCTCCCCGCCCCAGCCCGCCCGCCCACTCGAGATGCTGAGAGGCGGAGAAACTGCCTCCCCAACCCCCACCCCAGCATCGCCCACCCCGGAGAGACCCCCAGGGACAGCAGAGCTACGCAAAGAGCAGAACCCCTGCTTGCTGGTTTTTAGGACATCGGTTGTGGAGGGAGGGGGACAGACCCGCACGGGCGGGGAACAGGAGCACGACCCAGCTGTAGGGACCTCTCTGGGTCCCCGCTGGCACTGCCAAAGAGCACGGGAGGGGAGAGAAGAGGTGCCAGGACACAGATACACTCCAGGACACAGATACACTCCGTGCTGCTCCCTACCTGTGCGCTCCTGTGCCCTCCTCCTGCTTCCCTCGGGCAGGATGCTGCCAGCAAGGATGGGAAAGGTGGCACGAGGACAGCTGGGCTGAGAGCCAGACGGAGGTCAGGGCCAAGAGCCTGCTGGAGTGAAGGTCCAACCACAAAACGAGAGCCCTGCTGCAGCCTGAGCAGTCCCTGGTGCCCACACGACAAGTCCAGGCTCCCAGGCCCTCCACTCCATCCCTGCTCTCCACTCAGGTGGAAACAGCATTCCTGGCAAAACACACAGCTCCCAGCAAACGATTTCCCTGCCCTTGGTACCCCACATTTAGGGCATCATGACCTGCCACCTCATTTCTAAGCCACCACAGTCCTTAGTAAACAGGGCTGAGCTCTTCCTCACCATGGAGGAAGATGGCAATTCTGGAGAGTCCAAAAAAAAAACCCAGCAAGAGGAAGGTCCTCCAGTCACAGAGCCACCTGAACACAGCCTGAGCTGACTCTACACAGCCCTGCCATTCCAGAGGCTGGTTTATCATCCAAGCCAGGGGACAGGAGGGCTCTTGTGTTCTCCCCTGTCCCTCAGGTGCTGTGGAGGGGCTCTCTGTATCCTGTGTCATGTACAAGGCAAAGTAAGATCATCAACCCCCCCGTCCTGTGCTCACAGGGCAAGAGGAACACTGTGGGGACGTGGCACTGGGTAACCCCGCTGTGGTCAAACTGGGAAGTTCATTGCAGAGAAGCTGCTTCAGGTTCCTCCTGTCTCCACACGCTCAGCATGTGCCACAGCCAGCAAGGGAAGCACAGCTTCCTCCTGGCCACGGCAGCAGCCACCACACAGACCCAGGGCCTTCTCCTCTCCCACTGGGATGTCTGGGTGCTGTGGCTCCCTCCAGGCAGCTACAGGCCTGCAGGGGCTGCCCAGCAGCATTCCTGCTGCCCACTCCTCCAAAAAGCAACAACCTGAGATGGGAGAACACCCCCTGCCAGCTGCAGGTCCCCCTCCCAGCCCAGCCCCTCCTTCCCTCACCTTGGCAATCCGCCTGGAGCCCGAGGGACACAAACACTAAAGAATCCACCCACCCTCCCCTCCCACGGGGAGATGTGGAGGAGACTGGGTGGTCCTTCCATGGGGCACCTCAGGCACCACAAGCCAGCAGGTCCTGAGGTCTCTGTGTGGAGTTGGCAGAGGCTGCCCCACAACCACCCCACAGAGCCACGCTGCTCCTCTCTCTCTGTGGGCTGGGGACATCCTGGGTGTCCCAGCACTGCAAGTGCACCTTGCCAAGAGCAGAACAGGGAAGGAGAGAAGCAGAGAACAGAGAGGGGGGGGGAAAATCCAAGTCACGTCCCAGAGATTGCTCCTCTTTAAACCTGCGTTGCTCCCTCCTCTCCCTGGGGGCTCCATAACATGATCCCAGCTTGCTGAGAGGCATGGGCTGCATCCCAAGCATCTCAACCACCCAGCCAGGAGAGCTCAGGAGCAGGGGGCTGATGGCCCTGTGTCCAAGGGGGAAGGCAGATCGTTGGACACCCTGGGACACGTTCTCCTCAGGGACACACAGGCTGAGAAGAGCCCCTGAGAGCCCAAGTGCTATGACAGGGCTCAGCAGGAAACACTCTGCCAGGCTGCCTCTGCCAAGCAGACCCCTGCTGGGAACCACCCCAGGAGCCCCCTCACGAGCAAAGCCCTCTGCCAGGGAGAGGATGGAGCCTCCAACACAGTCTTTTTCCCCTGAAGCATAAACTCGAGTCCCTGTCACTGCTGCCCCATTTCTGGTTCCCTCCGGGGCCGCCGCAGCCCTGTGGGAATTTCTAGAGCATCACACAAGAAGCCAAGAGCTTCCCAAAATAACCCAAAAAATGAGCAGTCCCCTGGTCTTCTCCTCCACTTGGCCACCGTGTGGCCACTTGGCCTGGTCCTGCATCCTTCCACTGTGTCCTGGCACACAGGTGCCAAAGTCCTGCCTGATGCCTTCACCAGGGCGCTGCCCCGGCAGCATCCCTTTTCCCTCCTGGCCTGCTCCACATCCTTCCCCTCCCCGGGTGGGGCTTCACAGCCACGGCAATCCCAGCACATGCAGGCTAAGGCCACAGGCTTGGCTTTGAAAAATCCCCCAAAGGGAAGCGAGGGCATTTGCATCCTCCCCGTTTTGTGTGTTTTCACATGCAAATCAGCCGCCGCACAGTCTTCCCTTTCTTCCCGGGTCTGCCAGGGCTCTGTCCCCTCCAGCCATTTGGGGGCCACTTCTAGGGGCGGCCCTGCCTGGGATCTGAACAGCCTTTGTGTCCTGGGGGAGGCAGGTTCAAACTCCAGCAGGGACAGACTGGCTCTTCACCCTCTTGGGAAGGACAAACACTTGTGCCTTTGCCCCTTGCGAGGCTTTTGGGTGAGACTCCAGGACCATTTGCACTGGGGAGGCATCACCCTTGCCTGGTCCATCCACGTGGGATGTCATTTTTGCCTGTGACTGTCCCTTTCCCCAGAGCTGGCTGCACACACCCTGCACAGCTGCCACACCCTCACCACGTGCTTTGGTGCCAGGGACACCCCAACTCCCACCTGCTCCCTCTGCCCACCGTGCCCACTTCCCTTTACACTCCAGTCACGTCCTTCAGGCAGGAAGGACCGGGCAGGACAATCCAGCAAGACCTGGCAAGGCAAAAGAACACATAAAACCCCCCTTTGCTTCCCAACTGACCCAAGATACCTTGGCCCCCTCCCAGTACCACTAAATCTGTTCCTGTCCATACTGGGATGGAACAGCCCAGGCAGAGGGGATTCATCCCTTATCCCTCAGCCACACCAAGGCTCCAGAGCAGTCCAGCTCCCATCATCCCCACTCTGATAACACTGCACCTCTGCACCAACAGTCTTTCTCCCCTTCCTCCTCCTCAGGACTGGGAGCAGCCTGGCTGAGGCTGTGGGTGTCCAGAGGATGCTCATCCCCAGCAGGGTGCAAGAGGCAGAGTCACCACATCTGCCAGGAGAGAGGAGGGAGGGACAAGGGACAGCCCAATTTACCACTCACCCACAGCTGCTGCTCCCCTACTACAGGCAGGAAAACATTCTATTTGAGCTAATCCACATTGCCCCCTGCCCAGTTTTCCAAATTGAAGTGTTCAGTGCATTAAGGGCTCCGTGTGGTCACCAGGCAGCTCAAAGCTGGTGCTGTTAATGGGTTTATTTCTGGGCTTTCACAGCCAGGATGTCGCCGCCGGTGCCAAAAAACCGCGGCAGCCGGGCAGGAGGGGCTGGGTGCAGCTGGCTGAGAGCAGTGGGGCAGGATGGTGGGGTTTTATCCTCTTGTTTCTGAAGCACAGAGCTGGCAGGACGCAGCAGCAGGACCCTCACACGCTGCCCTGCCATCCCTGCTCCGACCTCATCCCGGGCACCTCACAGCCACCAATCCCTTGGGAAGGGATAACACCAGCAGGAGACACGGCTTGATTTTGCTTCACCTCCCTTGTTTCTGCCTCCCAGATGCCACGTAGCAGCCTGAAGCACCCAAAAGCAGAGCTGCTTTGGGAGCTAACTGGCAGCTGCCAGTCAATGCCGGGCGGGAGCCCCCAGCTCCCGCTGTTGCCAGGCTGATTCCCCACCTGGCTCCCTTCTCGCTAATCCTGTTTGGCAGGGAGCTAATTGGGATTTATCTGACAGCACCCAACGCCTAGAGAGCCATTTTGTGCTTCCTCGGGGAAGGGAGAAGAGGAGGAGGAGGAGGAGGGAGGCTGCAGAAGGCGTTTGCACGTTCTCCCTTCCCCATCCCCTCCTGCAGTTTTACAGGCTAATTACCAGCATTAGGGAGAAAGGAGCGGGAGGGGGGGAAAGTGGGGATTTTAATTATTTCATTTAACACTTGGCAGGACCCAGCTTGACTCCTGCTGAGCAGCACTTGGAAATAAAGAGCTTTTAAAGCCTCTCAATGGGAGATGAGGGAAGCGGGTGCGGGAGATTCGGGGCTGGGGTGGCCTGGCGTGTGTGCTGGGAGGGAAAGGGATGTTAATTCACACCATTCCCAATAAACAGCCGTGCCAGGGAGTGCTGGATAAGGGCTGTCTCTTCTGAAGAGGGGGGTTTCATCACTTAATAACTTTGTCCTCAAACAAACCCTTCCTGGACCAGGCAGCATCTCCCAGACATCCTTAGGGATGGCTGGGTATGGAATGGGCCACATGGGTGTGCCCAGGGGCTACAGGTCACACCTCTCCCAGCACAGCAGGCCCTTCTCCAAGCTGGGGGTCTGCACACCACTGCCTGTGCTCAAGCTGCACTGCCACTGC